GTTCTGGCAGACATGTGTTTGATTACTGTATAACAAATCCATGAGGGGGGACACAGATTGCAGTTGGGCCAATCCGTGAGATCTCCGACAGTATCCGAAGAATATCCACGAAATTCGCACAGATTGAAAAATACACCAGAAGCAAATTATTGGTGCAGAATTCGCACAGAGAATACAGGTACAACACAGTATTTCCTGAGCAAAATTAGAATCCAGTACGGTAAAGTAAAAATCCGCGGCGGCTGTGGGTACAGCCGAGTGCAATGTTGAACATGACAACTAGGCACTTGGCAGATCCTACCCCATGAATGCTCTATGTTGGATGCAACGTGTTGCGCAGTGTAGCCACTACAGGTCCAATTCGCAAGCCATCCGTGTCACTCGTTCCCAACACCGAACTATTTGAACAATTCACATATAGATATTAGGAGCTCAGAGTAGAGCCAAGCATGTAATGTTTGAAGCCTTGATTTTTGTTCAATAGAACATAAACCTTCATTCTCAGCGCTTGATCCGGAATAGAAATTTATTGAGATTGAGATTTATTCTAGCAAACAGCTTTAGCTAAATTGTGCCTGAGTGTTGTAATACAAACTGTAAGCAGTTTCTGCAAAAGCAAAAAATTATTAATCCACTTTTCGTTTTTGGTGGAATAATATCTGTTATTTAGTTGCAGCGTTTGTTGTGTCGATGTACGAATCCAAGACATTTTTGTGAACATTGCATAAAAGCACCGGTCACACGTGTGACTACATTATATATGATCTAGTTAGTATAGGATAGAACCGACAATTCGGTCGTTTGACCGTTGCCTGGTTGCTCTCGCCATTATTATAGTTCTGAGTCCAGTGTACTGTGCTGATCATCACAATACAATAAGGCCCATCGGCGAGGGCGATAGTTCCGCTCCAACGTAAGCTGGTTCTTTGAATTTATAAAGAATCTTTTCGCCGAAACAATGATCTTACATAGATTATTTGAGTGATTCGGGTAAACCAGTAATATGTGGCAAAATACTGATCGAGCGCCTGTGAGCTGATGACTTTGCCAACCGGATCAATTCCCTATCGGGCAAATTTTGTCCGATTTTTTGTACGCCAAAAAATTTTAGTTAATTCTGATTTATGCTCCAGGCATAATCCCCATGCATCTTCAGTCACTTATTCATCCGGCAGAAGCGCTGTTCCTATGCATTAAATCTGTCTTTTCTCCTTTGATGAACTTTCACTTTACGCAGTGAGGCGCTAACTGCTGATCGTATTTCCAATCATTTGACATGTAACTAATACAACCACAGTGTAATTACAGGTGGAAACCCAATAATTATGTTCTTAACTGTGTTGCAAGTGAATTTAAATGGTGTAAACTGGATAGGCCACAAATAGACTCAACCAGACGGGTACCACACGTCCGAAATTGTTCTGTGTAATCCTTTCGTTCCTCTTGGAATTATCTGCATTCCGCATTCCGTCTGTCGCCTGTGGCGCTAGAAATCTCGATAATACTTCTATAAGACACTCCAGTGTTACTAGAAATTATGATACCCGTCTGTCTGAGCCTGGTTATGAGGTATTATGGTCTCATCAACTGAGATCACTTAAACCTCTGTCATTTTCATTGCCAATAAACTGATTCCCACACTATTCAAGTTTGGGAGCAACTGTGCTCTGGCCACTCTCTACCATTACGCTGTGTTGTAGTCCCTTCTGCTTAAAATAGCCTTCTGAATTAAGCCTTGATTCTCTCCACTTACCATAAGCGTTGCGGTTGCGCAGACAGCTTAGGTTTTGTCACAAATCTTTTGTTTCGAACTCTTGACCCTTTATCAAACCATGCTATCGCATTTACTACTTGGCATATATAACTCGTCCGCACAAATAGACCAACTTTTTGCTTTACTTTACCTTCCAATCATTGTCATCAAGACGTCAGGAAAATGCCGTTGCTAAGTGAACACTAGACGCCCGGTTTTTAGCTACTGAGGTTAGCCATTCGCTGTGGGTGCCACCGATTTTTATCGAGCTGATGACTTGCGATTTAGGAAACGGCACAACTTTAGAGAAATTTTAGTGATTTACAGAAACATGGTTAAGACGCGTATTCTTTCATCAAAATACTCATCACTGTTTCCGTCTCTTGTAATCATTGAGAAACCATTTCATGCGGAAAATCTCTCCGCCTATCCCAGCTGGACCCTTGGGGTATAGTCGGAACAATGGTACGTAAGTGCCAAGTTTAATTGCTTTCACGAGCGCACCGTATATTTCAAAGCTGTTACCTTTTCAAACCAACTGTATATGGTTGCTTCCACATAGATTTACGCGCAACATTCAGTCTATAACTAAGTTCATTCTTCCCATATCGCGGCCACGAGGACAAGTGTAAAACAATGATCTAGGGGTATGTTAGGATGTGTTCGGTTTGAAGAACATACTCACTGCCGAACTCGCATTAATGTGACTAAAACTGCTCTTATAATTGTTACACTGCAACCTACGTTCCAGAAAAGATATATAGTGAATTTATGTAAAGTGGTGGGTCCATTCAACAGGGACTTTCTAGTCTGAGCAGATGAGTTGTAAGTCAGTTAAATATTATTCAGTTACAAATGAAAGGACGCCACCTGTCAGTAACCCGAATCACCTAGGAACAAATGTTGTGTTCCATAAAAGCAGAGATTTCGGAACATGATTAATTTTTGGAATAAAAATATTCAGAAGTACTTCAACACAATCCTTTGAATTATACCAACCTCCTTGCTATACTTCAAAAAATAATTTGCCAGTATCTCCGTCGACAATGTCTAGGGCCTCTAGTGGGGAAATATGAGTCAGGTTTAGTATCACATGCGGAATGGTTCACTATTCAGTTACTGTGAACATAACTTTAGAGGCATCTAGAGTTGATCACGAATGAATAATCAGTGCACTGAAAAGTAAGCACTGTCAATGACACCAAGGACGTTTAGTTTACCTCTGTACCAACAGTGTATTGTGGCAGTTATATATTCTGCAACAAGAAATAAGCCAAATGCTTATTGGTATTTATTTCGACGAGTTGCTGGCTAGCTATTGAGAAATTTGCTGAATTAACTTCTTTTAACTGTATCTAATAAAATTTTGTACCGCAGTTAACAGCATCATGTTACTTACGCCAATGCAACTATTCTTCCTAGTAAACCGTAAGGTTTTAAACGCCTTGACATTAATAAGCTAGTAATCTTGGTCATATGAGACCCGTTAGTCATAATTTTCCACTCGCAACGGAATAAAACTAAACCGTTATCTTTTCTCTTATACCGTGTGTACAGCCTTGTAGCTCACACACCATTTGACAACAGGTTTGCGTGAGACAGATAAAGGCGCATCCGTGCTGCTAAAAATCAATGGTCAGTACCCTGCCTGTTTATCCGGGTTATGTAAATTGTTAGTCATTTTGCTATCCGTGGTGTTTCGACACTAAAATAGATGGTCTATATGACCTAGTTAGAGGAAAAATTCTATGTAAGCCATAAAACAGCCCATCCACGCGATAGGGGCTTTGGTAATATCTACAAATGCGAGCTCAGTAATCCTGCCATTCGCAATAAGAGAAATGAATGGTTGACTGTATATGCTGATTGCTTATTCATAGTCGTCCAGTGAGTGAATGTCATTCACGTGCTAAAGCTGGAGACCGAAATAAATTAGGCTAGAATAACCGTAATATGGGTTATTCGGTTTTATAACTCGCTTTGTGAAATAAAGCTTTCAGGCACGAAAAGATATACTTTTCTGGATTGCGTGATCCGTCGCCCATCAGAGGCAAGGCATTAAGCTTTAAAGCAATAATTCAATTACCATCAACAAAGCAACTGGATTACTCGACTTCATCCAAACTGGTAGTCCAAGCAAGGCCCGTGATTTAGCAGAAATGATTGGCGCAGAGGTGTAAACCAAAACTAACGAATAAATACTGATCGCTAGGTGTAAATTATGGCTGGGAAGAACAATGCAGGTTCTAACTCTTGCTCTGTCTCATCTCACATCTCATACTTAGCATCAAAGTACTAAAAGGTTATTAAGAAAATAAAATCAAATGTCTGGAATAGCAAGCAATGTACTATTAAATGTTTGATTTAGATCTCAAAACATTGATGCTCACATTAGTTTGCTGTGTGCAATGGGGAACGGAAGCTACCGAAAGTTTAAACCAACACAAACCCGATAAACTATCCGGAACTGATAACAGCAAAGTCGAATTGGATGGCAATTACTATGAATACGTGTTGCTATGGAAGAAATCATTGGTGTTGGTCTTTCTATGAGTTCCGTACTTTGGTTAAAAGCGTTTCGTTAACATATTAGGCAACATCGTCACAATAGCTTCGATGAAATACACGCTTAACATATAGACTGTTAGCTGAAGATGCATTCAAGAATGTTCTGCGATTGAAAACCTCCATCGTCATGACCGCGCACAACAAACAATTTCAATAGTGCATAAACGGGACTTCAGTGGAAGAACAAGCACATCAACCCTGTGGTTTCACAACATGGAAATTAAGATACTGCTTTTGCGAAGGGAATGCTGTCTTAACCTCGCTGTTGCTTGTTCACAACAACATAGTTTACGACTACCGTAATCCTGGTTTACATCTCCAGGTGAAGGTAGGTGAAAGTGGAATGTGAACCCGGAACCTCTCAAAGTTCATACAGACACATTGTCACTAAATACGTGGTACGATGCGTTAGTCACCTGCAAGTAATGAATGAGATTTGTCTTACTTGCATCGTCATCCATGGGACAATGAAACAATGATTTATGGCCTGTACCAAAGCCTAGGAGTAGGTTGAGAATAAGGGAAATTGCACGAGGACATAAGGAGAATAAGTAAGGTAAGCTGTAGTGAAGCGATCGAGCTTTGGCCTAGATATAGGGTTGTTGGATGGTATCAAACAATTAAGAAAAACAATTTATTGCATTTAATACCCCTAGCAAACAACGATCGGATTACTCACCCTTCTGCGCAGTATTACTTGCGTCATTGCGGGTTATAATTCCGAAGAAACAAGTTGGTATGATTATATCCCATAATATCCATTTGTTACGGATATTTCGATTGTTCCAGTATACCATTATTTTTCTTTAGCTGTTTTGAGCTCCTTCTCAACCCTATGGTTAAAGCAGCTCTTTCCTACGCATGCAACCTATTTTTGTTCAGATCTAACCACTGCCATTCATTCGCTGACGTTAGCATAGAATAAACTGGCAAGTTGATAAAAATCCACGCTTTTTGCATATCACGCCTGAATCTACCTTCTCTGGCTCAACTATATAGACTGCAGCTAATTCGATTAGCCTATGTATCCTCTTATTTTAAATCCCATCTGATTAGATCTCTTGCTCGGTTGTGTGACTGGAATACAGTGGTTTGGAGCCTCCATGTGTTTTCCTTTAATGGTCGGTTATCGAGATCCATCCATGTTTGTTTCAATAATCCTTTGTAAAAGAAACATCGTAGTGGTCTACTTCTATCGTTGCCCTTTGAATTGATCCGGGGATTCTAAGTTTTACTCGAATGCATTACTGATTTCCCGGTAACACATTGCGTTTAATAAAGTGTAGCTTTGAGCAATGGTTTATGCCGCGTATGAAAGCAAATGAGCGACAAATCCTGTAGGATGGTTAGGGTGAAAATTACAAGGCAAGAACAGTTTAATAAAAGCATGCAGTAAGTACATGAGTCACCAAGAGGTTTTGTTTTTAACAAGTGCGAAGATTCTTTTTTTAGAATTTCGGAGGATTATGTCACAGTCCACCGTTTGTTCCGCACTAACGACATCATGTAATTGTCATGGGCTACACCACGTAGTGTATATGCGATTGTATCCTCAAAACGCTTTTTGACTAATGGATTGCGCCAAGATGGCCTTGCAGGGCTGTGGTATTCGGAGAGATAAACAGTTTCGTCGGCATTCCAGTCGGTTATACTTCTTGGCCAACTTGAACTTAAGACCACTTAGAGATATGCTTTGCCTGAATTTTAAAAGTAATTGGTATGTGTGTTTGGGGTTTCTTAGCATCTGTTACCTCATAATGAGATCTCTGCGTCGACGCCTAAAACGTCCGCTGTAAACACCCAGTGTTTTCAGCTTTAGTGAGTAGGAAATGCGTGGCAACCCTCTGACGGACTTAGTCACCCTGCGCTGTGCAGTAACGAGCCGCGGTAAGGTATTGCTTTTGCCAGGATTGCTACGTCTGAATAGCGTATTTCGCATACAGCCGCATTTACGCACCAAACATTTTCAGGACGATTGAAACGTCGAACTTCCGGAACGCTCTACAAGAAGAGCCGAACTGCTGCGTTACCTTCTTTGATACCTTTTCCGTTGGTCTTAAACAACCAAGGCCTTCTTGCACGAGCACGTCGAAAACTAACTCACAAAAAGCATGCTGTTGAATTTGTGCCCCTGGTTGCTACTTGTGGGCATTCTGATGGAGCCTGCTGAGAAATTTGCACTTGGTGGCGTTAAATTGCCACATCTCCTAGTTGGACCATGTGTTAGCTTTTAGCAGATCATCTTCTAAAGCTATGTGATCTTCAGTGCAGTGATGGCCCACCATACCTTTAGATCATCGACAAATATTCGGATGTCTGAAGATAGCACCCTCGCAAGGTAATTTTTGAAGATCAGGTAGTTGCCGAGCCCGAGGACCGAACCCAGAAATACGCCCCACTGGACTTCGATTGGTTCGGATGGGGTACTGTGAACCCTTCTCATGCAGGTGATGTTAAACGAGAAAGTCGCCTATACAACCCAGCACGGGATTGCCAATTCCATTACTCTGAAAGTTGTGCAGTAGTATGCGATAGGCCAGACAGTCGAATGTCCTAGCGAAATTCAGTTAGGCGGCATCTACTACAGCAGCATCTATGGATTCCCTCCAGCTTGTACGAACTATCAGCAGGTTAGTAAAACTTACGGCGGCCATAAGTCCCGATTAAGGAGGGGACAGTCCCGCATTACAAGCTGTCGTTTCACTTTTTTAGAAATGCTGGGTGGGACGCACTAATATCCCGCTTGGAGTTCGATGACCTCAGGATGTCTTGTTTTGAGCATGTTGAATGTAGGTTATAAACCCAAAACCGATCAGTGGCGGTGCATACCTAGGATAAGACCGAAATAATTGGCAGAAATGAGATGGACGGGATAGTCTAGTGCATGTGGGGGGCAGTACGTTAGGAGAAATTTTACGGCAATAGAAAAAGGGGTAAGAAATGTGCTAATGAAATTGGTGGGCTGGCTTGCCGAACAACCTATTCGTGGTGCCAGCTGGGTGGTTCGGGCTTTTCCCGTTCCAGCAAATGGTTCGGCGGCAGTGTTGCAGGACGTGTTGGGTTTTCGCCTGGTAAGCGTTCTCCCTATAAAAAGCCACATATGTCCGTTTAACAACATTGTGACGTGGCGGTCGTGACTCGCCAATAAATAAAGTCACTGCCCCTTTGCTTCATCCTGACGAAGCATTGTATTCCAGCAACGTTATGCTGTAGTTCTGGGGAGCATTGGGCCCCTGTTTGACAAAGGAACAAACGAAAGGCGTATGAACTGAGTAATTAGTCCCCGGCTCCCGGTAAGCGCAATCCCCTGAATTCGATCCGCTGCCTTGCGGACAGGCTATTCAGCCAAAGGATAGGGGTGGTGTCCCCTAAGTCAACACCTTACTTCGGCTTGGGCAACCGGGTAGTATCTCGCCCTCTGACGAAACCATGGACATTGTTGTGTTGTGTTTTCCTTTACTATTTCTGTACCATCGTTTGAATCCCATGGTTTCTGATGGCATTATGTCTATTCGTAAACCATTGCATATATATATATATATATATATATATAGAATGGAGTTGGTGTGTCTGGTGAAAAACGCCTGCAAAGTCACGGTTTGTTGGAAAAGTCTTGTCTAAATGCAGTTTACGATGACTACTCAATTGGAGAGCGGTTTTCCACTCATCACAAAGGCAACAGCGACAACTATTTGCATGTATGACGTGACACATACCAATCTGAATTTTCTATTGCTAACTGTGGCAGATCGGATAACGCAAACATCTAAAATCGGATGGCCATTAGGTAGCAGTGTCTGCAGCGGCATATTCAACCACTATAACCAATTATATCCGATCAGCAACACTTGGAAAAACAGAAGTCAAGTCAGTAGCCCGAGTAGGTACCTTCGCTTATTAAGCTGTATTTCACAACCACAGTTTCCGTCCCATGAATTGCTCCAGAAAGTTGGTAAGCAAATTGTCTCAGCCGAAATGTGCTTGTGCCTGCAAAAATGTGAGGCAAGGATTACTAATATCATGTTCTCATTTGCCAGAGACAAACTTGGAGAAAAGGGAAGAAAGCAAAATTCGTGTGAATTACCACTGACATCACAAACCTCAAGAAAGTAACATGTTCCCAATCCTTGTGAGATATCTTTTTAATCTTCATCGGGTATTGAAGTGGTTATTTGCTCTGCAGTCACATTGGATACCATTTGTTTTAACAAAGTAATTTACTAAGAAAATCTGCGGGATTTTGTGCTGGCAAGGCCAGCACACAATGCAGTGGCATTCAGATGGGAAGAAAAATCAATGTAATCACAAAATGACCATCTTCGGTAGGGGGAAAATGTTGTGGTAATTGGTTGCATTACCCACATTTTCCACAACACAATGCGAATGACAGCTGACGGTCTTCCTATGTTGAAATAGTTGTGGCGAAATTATATGTATTTACTTTTACACTTACGCTGTTCGAGTCGAATAACCAAAGGAATTCTGTGAGGCTACAATGGTGGAATACGAAAGCATTCCAGGATATGGGAAACCCAGATGGCTCTCACTTATGCCAGCAGTGTAAACATTCATGATGTGCTTTTCGATGTTAGAATCCCATTCTTTGTTTCGACAGAAGTGTTATTCAACAATAAATTCTTCCTTAGAAATCCCTGCGCTGAGCAGTGGCTCTACTTTATGCACATCACGCTGCCATTATTCATTCTACTGTCTTTAACATGGAGAAACAAAATAGTGCAGCACTCTAACTCATCTGAAATGTGCGAACTCCTATAGAAGCAACGGAACAGGAGCAGAAACAGCTTTATTGCAAAAGAGTTAGAAATCGGAAGTGGCCAACTAGAACAAACGGGTCTAATCGAACAAGAGCTTTGATGAATATTATCACCAGCTTCTACGAAAATTGTGTCGATTTTCTACAGGATGAATGAACCCAACTCAAGAGCTGAGTGGCTGCAGTTAGGTGACTTTGAAACTACCACCGTCCTGAGAAAAAGTCAAAGTAGGTATCAGTATTTTTCCATCTAACCTCCCAGACCAGGAAATCACTAACAACGAGCTGTTTCATGAAGTTAACAGCGTGGGTAGTTTTGCATAAACCGATAAAATTTCCCATTGGAACTCTAAACAAATGAAGGTTGACGTGCGGTGACTAGCATTGTTTTCCCCTTTCCAGCCCAAATTGGTCCCTTGCAACAAAATACAAAACTTCTTGAATTTATTATCTGTCTCACTGGAACCAATGCACCCACTTTAAAAATCTTCTCACATGGGCAAGCCAGAAATGGCAGCCTAGCGTTCAAACACTGAAAGCGATGGTTATGGTGAAATGTAATTTTGTGAACAATTGCCGGGTATCAATGAGAATGAACGTCATGCTGATGTAGAGCCTAGATCTACCACTGAAAAAACATTCATTTGAGAAGTACTGCTCTACAGCTAGCGTACCAGGTGATACAAGTAGCAAACCAACTTCAGTAAAAAAGCCATTGTACTGACTAATGACGTAGGTACTCTTTGTTATGGCAATAAAGTAATACATGTAGATATATATCTTTCCAGTTTTTGTACGGTCTGAATTTAATGAAACAACGGGGTAGGTTATGCGTTCCGCCTTGGTTCCAAAAATATCCGGAAGCGTCCTGCCTTGGCCCTAGAAAAATTTGGCCAGCGTAGTAATACAGAGCTGATTTTGACAAAATCCGTGCTGCTCCGGATCGCGAATTTACTTACTCACCAAGTACCTAATGTGCGCCTCAGCTGCGGTGGAGTCTATGATCTTGGATATTACCGGAAGAATTGTTATTGGGCAATAATTGGTTGGTACTAAACGGCTAACACTTTTGTATGATGGAATGATGACCCTGTGTTTCCACTTCCTGAAGACATCCGTCACGTTATGACATGACTAAGAGTACTGACAACGGTCGAGCTAACTTCATGGTAGCAATTGTCAACGCCTTTGGACGAATGCCGTCTGCAC